GTTTTAATCATTATTATAGACATTAAACTTATGAATACGTCATTGATCCAAAATCATACGGCCAAGACGAATGATAAAACGCTATAGGTGTAGCGCGAGTGATGTATACGATTTTTAGATCTGTTTCAAATTATTTATCTGACTTTAAGTAATGCACGCGTACACACATTTATACACGAATAATTACTGTCTTGCACAGAAGAAATTTCGTTTCCCTCTCAGTCATGTCTTCAAAAAAGTACTATATGCGCAGTGAGTAGATAGACACCGTTTAATATCTTCATCTATGATTTTAACATCATTGGAGGTACTGCGAGCATATATACCAACGTCAGAGTATTGGTGACGGATAAAAAAAAAATAAAAATAATGTGCAGTTTTATTCGCGGTGGAATTATTTTTTCCCCTCATTCGATTACCCGCCGATCGTTGTTTGTGTATAATTATTAATTTATTATATGCAAATTCACAGAAAAAACCGATCGATTGTTTAATGTGATTGTATAATGTATATATAACTATCACACTGCAGGCCGGTCGGTAATTCCTGTGCACGGACTGTTGTCCGCTGATCAATTGATGTTGTTCGAAGTTCATAATAATAATRATATTGTTCTTCCACAATATTATAAAACACTCTTTAGATTCTATTGCCCGGTTGCACAAACGATCAATAAAAACAGTTCAATAAACTGTGATAACGGTTCAATAAACAGTCGGATAAATAACTTTATTGGTTCCTTAAAGTGTTGGACTGTTGCACAGAAAATTCTTTAACATTTTGATGGTTAGTGCTCTTACCATAGTTACAAAAAATTATCATTCCATCATRTATTTTTAATGTTATYRGTGTTAATTGTTATCTGTTTTATACTTTAAAATTAAGTTGAACTGGTATCAAAAATATTTTATTAAATGATAAATAATAATATTACCTTATCACAAAATAATTCGATATTATCAGATCAATAAAGTTATAGAACTCTTTTGAATATTTATCGAGCCGAAATCGGGTCTACGACTHATCGAACCGATAACACAATATTTATTGGATTGATAAAACTTATTGATCCTTTGTGCAACCTGTCAAATTGTTATCGATTCGATAACCAAGTTATTGGACCGATAGCTAGTTATTGGTCGTTTGTACATATTATTAGACTGTAGCCTAAGAATTATGCAGTCAATTTTCGTCAGACACGCGGTACCAGTGGCGATGAGTGGCGACTACGCGACTATCATTGATATGGCTTGCCCATGTACCTATTATCTGAAAAGGTGCTCAAGCATCCCTTTCATATAGCTGTGGAGGATGTGTTAGTGTCGGACGTCAAGACCTCAAGTATCAAAACACTTTGGCTGCCAAATGGCCGCCGGCGACCAAAATGATTTTATTTATTGTGAAGCTGCTATTTGGGGCGCCGGTGATCCAAACCRAATTATTTTTCAGAGGCCGCTTATCGGATCACCGCGACTATACCAAATTCGAAATTACCTTAAATGGACTTTATTTTAATACGGCTCGGAGATAAAAAATATACCTAGATTTTACCGTGGC